ACACCTCCCGCTGGACTGCAGCAACCTGTGCTATACTTGCTGGGGGGAAATCTCAGTTGCTAGAAAAGGCGCTCTCTCTAGTATTGTGTTACAAGGATGTGGGAATTGTCCTCTGCTGTCCACAGTTTTCCCGGTGATCTACCAAAATCTGTCTATATTTTGGCCCTAAGCCTTTACTGTCTTTCTTCAGGAGACTTTAGTTAGAACCAGAGTAAAATAGAAGCCTGCCTTCCTTTGGGAAGGAGAAAAGGAAAGAGGAGGAAGATTGATAGGGAAGTGAGGCTTTGGAATAACTACTGGACTGAGCACTGGGCTGTCGGGGTGTCTGGGAGGGTTGGGCAGAGCACAGCTACAAGCGAGTGGTATGAGTCGAGTAGTCCAAACAGTGCAGAAGTTCTTGTTGTGCATGTTTTAAATAGTGTCTGTGTCTAGGGAGGAGGGAGAATGACACGTACTAATGCTTTCCTTCTGAGCTAATTGCGTTGCGGTTGGATAATGTGTGATGTGACAGACTTGTATCGTAGCTCTTTGCCAGACAGGCTTTGCTTCTTCATGCGTGCCTTGTTCAGATTTATTAGTGCAGCTGAATTTCCAATAGAGTACCTCCGTCAGTTCAGCTGGGGGAAGTTATCTTTGACTTGCAAATTAGAGGTAAAGAAATATCAGTTAGGTTGGCTAATTGAACTATTCACAGATCTCCGGGTGTCACATGCTAAGAACAGAAGTGCCTTTATGCCATTTTCATCTTGAAGAGGTGTAGGACTCTCATCCCATTATTTCCAAAGTGCAGCCTTTTAGCTGATGTATGTGCTTTGTAGCATGTAGTAAAGTTTATTCTGCCCACTTGACCTCAACGGTGGAGTTGATGTAACAGAAGCTGCAGCTGGGGAATACAAATTATACTTTTGTTTGTATTTTTTTGCTGGTAATTGTTAAGTCAAAACTTAACGAATCAAAATTAAACACTTTTGTATTCTCTGTAGATCTGGGCATACAACTTTGATGGTAGGTCTGAGATGGTTCACTAACTTGTGTTTTATACCATTGCCTGTCATAGTATCTGAATGAAACCAGCATGGTATTTCAGATTTGTCAATGTGACTCAGAGCAGTGTCTTTCTACTTGCTGATGCTCTGCTGATTCTCTCATGAAACCATTTATCTGTGTTACGTCTTTCCAGTAACTTTATGTATCAGTCATGAAGTGTCAAATGTCTTCCCTTAAAGACTTTTGAATAGTAATCTGATACGTTGAATGCTGCATCAATCCTCTTAAGTGACACATCCACTGAAAGCTCTACTGCTCCCTTCAGGAAATCTTGGTTTATACCAAACATCCACTGGCTAGAGATACAAAACAGAATTACACTTTGGTTGCAAGGGGCCCATATCTCCAGAATACTGTTTAAGTTACAAACCTCATGTATGCTTGTGATATCCCCTGCACCACTGAAAGAAGCCAAACGTGTGTAATCTTGAAAATGGCTGTAATTTTTGCTGTGAAAGCACTTTGCAAGGGAAAATTGTAATGGTGGCTTCCTGGTTTTGATCTGTAGGCTTAAAAATAGAATGGCTAAACAAAAACATCGTAGGACCCTCTTTTCTAAGTGGATTTTTAATTGCTTTATACTTTAATACTTAATGTCTTGCTTCACGGGAGAACCTTTTCTCTCTCCCCCCTTCCTACTTCCATGCAGTCTCTCTTCCCTCCTTCCTTTGTATAGGGAGGAGTCACCTGAAGGGCTTTCCTCTCAAAGAGCAGTAGTCTTGAGTTGAAAGCCACAGGCCCAAAGATATAAGCAGTGGAGGTGCTCATGGGCAGCATAAGACAGTAGCAGTTCAGAAAAGCCTTACCCATGCATCACAGTGTCATGGTACTTGGATGTGGCTCCATCCTCCTTAGCAATTCAAGTGTTCCAGTTTCTAGAGTGGACCAGTGTGTCTGGTCATTCTGAGCCGCTGATGGGCAGTATTGAGTCTGGTGTGTGCAAGGAGCAAGGTGAGAGCAGCAACAGGCAAAGCAGTAATCTCAGTACTGGGAGTAGAGTGCTGCTCAAGAGCAGAGTCTCTCCTTAGTAAACATATGCAATGGTGAAAAGCTCAGGAAGGAGGCTGCAGCTCTCCCAGCTGGGGATGTGGCTTCCCCATGCAGCTGGCAACCACTTTTTCAATGTGCCACCTCCACAGTATGGTCAGTACTTCCTGGCCTGTTTCAGCCAGAATGAGAGGAGCTGGAGGATCTCTCTGCTCTTCTGCCTTACCTTGAAACTAGCTGGAAGGGAAGTCTGGAAGTCAGTAGCTGGGAGGAAGGCAGGCAGTAATGAACAGATAGAGCAGTGATGTGTGCCCACGTGCATAGCTGCGGGCTCAGAAGTTCTGTTTGCAGAAGTTGCTGGCTGTTGTAGTAGCTTGCATGGATCTGTTGTCCTTTTCCCTGGCAAGCCACTCATCTGTATTTGGAATGGAGAGTGGATTTGTGTGGGGGAAGAAAGGATCTAATGTTTTGAAGGTGACTACATCTTAGTTTGCAAAGGACCCTCATGCCAAACTGATTTCCCTTGAATGATCAGATTCAAACACTGTTGGGGTTGATGGGTGACCACTGTCTCAATTCCTCACACAGGGGAAGTGCTGCTGGAGCAGGAGTTTGAAAAACTGTTGAAATCTAGGGGTAAGCACCTCACTCATGGCCTCCTACCCTGTCCTCTACAGAAGAGGGGAGGTCACATCCTTTAAGGGTGAGACCAGTCTGCCCAGCAAGAGGAGCTGAATAGCTGGCTTTAGCTGCAGCAGGGATGGCTGTTTATGTGGCGGAAAAAGAAGATAAACAGAGAAACTTCTGTTGTAGCTGTAGCGGCAAGGGTGAACTCTGATAGCCTGGGTTATAAAGCAGCTTTAGTATGGGGAAGAGACAAAGCAGGGCCTTCTTCCAACGCCGGGCAAGTACGTGATTTAGCTCTTTATTACTGTCCTAGAAACATCCCTGGAAGTGTGTGAAGCAATGTGTCTCTGGACAGTGCAGCTATGTGCACCTGAACTTTCCCTTGGCCCTCTCCTCTCAGGGACAAGATCTAGCTGCCCAGGGATCTTCTGCAGTTCAGTTTAGTGCTTGGGGCTTTGCATGCAATGGAAACTGGGCACATAATTCCTTCAGCAGCAGTCACTTGAAACAGAGGAAAAACGAGTCCACCTTTACCCAGCAGAGCAGAAACTCAAGCTAGCTGTGACTTTGAAGCCAGGTTTCATTAGCTGGGTTTCATTGGTCAGGCCCCATCTTGTAGTAGAGTAAATACTACTACTATTACTATTTCCCCACAGATTTCTGTGGGGAAGGTGTCGTATTCTGATGGTGCTGATTACAAACTAGCTGGAATTCCTTACCAGTGATAAAACGGCTAAAGCAGCCTTCCTGTTGGAGAGCAGGAGAGAGTATTTTCCTCTTGGAGACAAAGGTTTTACCTCATCAGAATTAGAAGGATGCAAATGAGACCCGTTGAGGGAAGATGACTTCAGATACGTAGCTTTGCTGAATTTTCTGCTATCAGATGCTCTGCCAACATTTTTCCCCTTTCTGAGGTGTTATTTCTTTCTTTGTCTCAGTAAGATTTTTTTTTCTTTAACGATTCCATGATTTGCCCAGCAACAAAACGCAGTTGAGCCACAAAACCAAACAGATGGTTGGGTCTACTTCACTCTCTCCGAAAGAGTGGTTGCCTCAAGCTGCTGCAACCTTTTCCTAGCTCCTTTGTTCTGCAGTGATCAGGAGCTCTGGATTCACTTAATTTCCTGCCCATTCGTGTGCACTGACAACCCTCTATTTGTTCCTGGCCATACCTTGTTGCGACTGCCAGTAGAAAATGCTAGGAAAGCCGGTTGGGGTGTGCTTTATTGCTTGCTTGCCCTGCCTTTGATTCAGCTACAGAAACTCATGCTGTTACATGCACTGTAGCTTGGGTTGAGGAGAGGGGTTTGGTAACACTTTCTGTGTCAGCCACTGCAGAGCAAGGCTGGTAGTTCACATTTTCAATGCCAGTTGTAATTTTTTAAGCTAAGGGAGGAAAAGATTGACCTTGACCATGATGGAAATGCTGCAGTAAATGACTCCTAGTGGGTGGAGGAAGACGCTGAGAAAGTGTCTATTCTGCTCTGCTCATTGACTTACTCTCAGCAAGTCTACTCACCTCTGCCCAGCTGGGAAGGGGATAGATGCAGGAGATGAATAGGGATGCTACGTTTTTGGCTCAGACACCATAGTTGAAATCTAGCCTGTGCTTTTGAAGTATGTGTCTTAGTTCTGGCCCTCCTTTACCACTGCCACATGTGTGTTTCTCTGGAGTGAGGTCTAGCAAAAGTATGTTTGCAGAACACTTCGCAGGCCACAAATGCTGTATGATCTGTCAAATGCAAAACCCTATTTTTCTTTTGTCACTTCTTAAATGCTGTTTCAAGCTCGTTGCTGTAGACCTATGCTGTTTGGGAGGCACAAGGAGAGCAGCGTGATGGGCCAGCCCCTGAGTTGGGGAGAATCGGTCCCTCTCGGGATGCAGGGCTCGGGTTTCAGTAACACAATGCTTTGTGCAGCCATGTGCGTGTTCAAAGAGCCAACTGGCTGGAGCTCCCGCAGTGACGCTTGGCTGATTTGGCAGCCGGGTTGATTCTGTCAAGTTACAGTACGGGAGTTAAGTCCAGCTTCAAATCCTCTCCCTTACCCGCTCGAGGAACCTGGAGGCGGGGGAGCGGGAGGAAGGGGGGAAGCTCTCTGGGGACTTTGTGTCATTATTGGCATGGAAACGTTTTGTGATTATCAGCAGCAGGGTAGTGGCAAGGGGCTGATTATCTATCATGTCGTCAGCATAAATAATCAGTGGGCCCCTGAGCAGGGCTCCGCCTTTTGTAATGGCTCCACGTAATCACTGCATAACAGTTTAAAAGCAAGCAGAACAGAAAAACAGCTGGACTAATTCTGACCCTAACTGATGTTGCCTTTTCTCCTCTCACTAGAAGAGAAATATGTCACTATCCAGCCATACGCCAGCCAGGGGAAGGATGAGATTGGGTTCGAAAAAGGGGTCACCGTGGAGGTCATCCAAAAGAACCTGGAAGGATGGTGGTACATAAGGTAAAGAAGCCGTGCATCCAGATTGCTGCAGAATCTGTGACAATGAGCTTTTCTGATCACTCACTTAATGTTAGCGTTTAGATAATTCTGTAGCTGGGCAAGGAAGCCCAAATTGTTCATAAAGCCTCTTGAATAAATGTAAAGAAAAAGCTAAGATAATAGAATGGTGATGAAAGTAGCACTATAGTGTCTGCAAAAGCTGTGGACCATTCCAGTGGGGAAACTCCTGAAATTGTAGATTTATTTTTTTTCCCTTCAAGTTAAAAGCCCATATCTGAATTAAGATCTATGAGACCTAACAAGGTTTTCTGTTGTGTGTAATTTTAATGTGTTTCCAGTATAAGACTTATTCTGCAACATATTTAAATCTATTTATAGCGATGCTGAAAAGGCTGATTGTGATCTCTTGAGCTGTTTGGGGCAGGTAGTGCTATTTTCAGGCGTATAAGTTTGCTGGTTATAGCCCTTTTTCAAACTTATTGATGGTTTCAACTAATTGGCCTGATATCTCCCTGTCCACGTTAGATAGTCCTAATGTAGAGGGACTGGATTCCAAGGCCAGGCGTATCATTGTGTATCAAACTTTGTGTATCAAACTTTGTTATGTATTTGAAACAGCAGTCATAGAGGACGTTTGTGACTTAAGAATCCCCTTTTTAAATGCTTATGGGGAGGAGGTAGGTTAGGTATGTCTCAGATAGTGATACAAGATGTCAGGATGAGTACTTAATGAGAGCTTTCTCCATCTAGGTTCATGCAGCACTTAGAATCATGAAGTAGCACTAAAACCTGACCCTTGTTTTGTATCTTTGTGAATCCTGCAGTGCTATGACATCCCATTTGTCTTTAAACAAGATGTCATACAACAGGTAGCCTAAAAACAGAAGTTTGTCTTGGGCAGTGCAAAACATCTCCTCTAGTCATCTTTTTCCATTCAGCCTGTAATTATAGTGATTATTTTTTCCCCTTTCCCTCCCCAAGCCATAACTTTTGTTTGGATTCTGCTTGATATATCAGCTTTGAATGAGGACTATGAAAATGCTGGCTAAAGCAATGTTGTTGCTTTTCTTGATGTCCTTTACTCGGAAAACTAATAATTTTTATTTTTACTTCTATCTAATGCTCCCATAGAGGGAATAGGCAAATAAAGATAGCAGTAGAGCCAGGAAGGCACTCTAGATAGGAGGAACTAAAAAATGTGTGGGTTTGGTCAGGTCACTTTTTTTTTCCCCTCCTTTAATCATTCATAGAAGTGGAATCCAAAGTTGCAGATAGAGGAATCAAGAGCACATAGGTTTTCTGAGGGGAGAAACATTGCAAGACATCTCTAGTTTATTTTGGTATTCGTCTGAAATTCAGCCTTATTAGTACTGTAGGTTCCCCTTTGCCATATTAACAGTTCTACCATAAGCAGAATTTCTTTTTTTTTTTTTCCCTTTTCCTCACACACTCCTTTGGGCCAACCCAAAACACACATTTTCCTATATAGCAGAAGTGTATTCTGGTGAACGGTGACACTTGCTGGAAGGACGGTGGATGTCCCAGCCACCCCATGGAACTTGGGGAATGCAGCATGCCCTTGGCTTTTTTGTAAGGGGCATTTTGAATTGAGCAACCTCTCTTCTTGTTGAAAGGTGGATTAGGTGCTCCCCATATGTGTGTGACGAGTGTGTTGGGTGTCAGCATTCATCCTCTCTGCTGCTCTGGAGCACTATGCTGCAGTCTTGCTGGAGAATTAAACTGCTCTTAGAAAGACTTTTTTTTTTTTTTCCTCCATGGGCAACAGTTTTGGAAATGCTGATGTGGTGATCCATCTCTGCAAGCTGGTCCTTTGCAGCCTGAGTAGCTGATCTCCAAAATGGTGTGCTGTTTATTAGACTTAAACTGGTCTGAATACTGTTAGGTACCACTCAGAAAAGGATTCCTCTTCTGCAGAAATACACTTTTCTGAGTATTGAGTGCCTTAAAAGGAGCAAGTCCCTCTCCTGCAGTGGGTGTGGGAGGAGAGGGAGCAGGAAGAAACTGCAGTTGAATCCTGCTGCCTTGTTGTCTGCTGGACTGGGTAACAGAGACCGAACGCGCACGTCAATGTGTAGAAATAAAAACAAATCCAACAGCTTGCAAATGGAATCCACCTTAAAAACATTAGCTTGTTCCACCTTAAATATGTAATTTCCCCAAATTCCTGGCCATGTGCTGATCCTCATTTCCTGTCCTTCTTTTTCTTTTTTCTTTTCTCCCCCCCCCCAGTTTGCTTCCCTCTGGAGTAATTCCAGTGCTCTGGAGCTGGAAAGCAGATGTGACTCTCAGACTCATAGAGGCACTTCTGACTTCTTTAACATTCCTATGGTTTGAATCCATTTTTTCCTTCATGTAGTATAAACAAGGAGAGTTTTGGAATCGCAGAGGAACCAAATCACTGCACCTAATTCTGTGACCCTCCCAATTCAATGCTGTAGGAGCTAGAGGCAGTATTGGTGTCTTCCTTTATTTTGCTCTGTGTGCATTATGACTCTTAAAAAAAAAAAAATAAAATCATTGGTACTTTGGAGAAGTGAAAGAAAGGCTCTGACCTGTGATCTTTCCTGCTGTTATACTGAGTTCACTGGATCTGTGTGCTTCCTGGTATGATCATAGCTGGCATTAGCATCCCTTATTTAGATCTTACTTTGTATCAATTACTGTCACCTGGAGGTAATCTCATGATGCCCAAGTGGATCGCAGGCCAAGTAAGTAGCAATGTGCTAAGTAAAGCTTTTTTTATTTGCCTGCATCTTCATTTTGTGGTTCGTTCTGAGCCTCAGCCCATGTGAATGAAGTGCAGTTGGGAGGTGTTAGCGACACTGAAATGAGGAGGAATCCAGGATGGGGTTTGAAATGTCTCCAGTAGGTTGTGAGTATAAATGAAGGAAGGATACTTGTGATTCAAATCTTGGACATGAAATGAAGATTGTTACAGGTTCACGACTTCTCTGAAGCTGATTAGAAGTTGCCTTAGTTCTTTCACCTATAACATAGGGAGATCAAGTAGTCTTCTAAGGTGATGTTTGCAAAGGGCTTTGAGATTACCAAATTCAAGGACTAAGGTGAAAAATGTAAGCCTATTTGACTTACATAAGTAGCTTTTATTTGTGATATTACACAAATAAACTGACAGTTGCTGGCAACTACTGTTCAACATTAACTTCAGGTTGAATTTACTAACTCACAGGAAGAAATAACCAGCAACAGCCTCTCTACTGAGGATGTGTTGCCCAGAGTTATTAATTGTCCAGCTATTGCTGCTACAATTCATTGGGAGCAACTACGTGAGATCAGAGGTGTCTGAAGCAGCATGGTTATATGGGCTGATCCAAATACGTACAGTTGGCAGGAGAACTAAGGAGCCAGTACAGAACCTGCCTGTGGCTGCCTTTCTGATCTGAAATGTGTTAAGTCTCCCCCAAACTAAGATGAATGAAAACTGTTTTTTCTTGCTGATTTTGCACAGTCAAGCTCTGTTAAAAGTAACCTTTGGAACTGGAGCGCTCAGTGCATTGGCCAATGTGGCTTTCTCACAGACTAAAACCTTTACATCTCTAGATCATGTAAAGTTATAAATGTCCTTTAAAAAACTTCCCTGATGCACAGGCAGCAGAAAGCATTGGTCAGTAGCTCTGCAAAAGGGCCATCTACTGCAAAAGGGGATGAAGCTAAAAAGTCTTCAGGGCTGGAAAATGGCACTGAGAGATCCGTTGCCACAATAGGGGACGTGGTACTTATTGAGGCCTTTTCTTCTTTTCTTTTTTTGGCTTAGTTTGAGGTTTTGCCACAAAAGCCTCGAACGGGACAGGATTGGATAGATCCACATTGCATCTTGACATAGTATCAATGGGTGGGTGCTGTGTATTTGTTGGAAGTCAGATCAAGTCATTACCATTTTGCTACTTCTTTTTAAGTCTCCATGTGGCAAACAAAGCTCAGAGCTGTTGGGATGCTCTCCTTTGACACCAGAATCTTTGAAAAAAAACCAGCTTGCTGCTAAACTCTGAACAGGGGAGATCCTGTATCTTTGCCTTTATGTGTGAAAGAAGGCAGGTATGTAGGGAGAGGCAGCATCTCTAGAGTCCTGGCTGATCTAGATGGGAGGGGAGGAAAAGGCAAGATTTTGGACAGAAAGATCCTTGTGGTCATTGCTAGAAGTACAGCAATTATATTTGCTTTTGTACAGGAAGAGTAATGAAGTCTAGGGAAGCAAAGCTACACTGCGTTTTCCTGTTCTCCCAAAAAAGTCCCAGTACCACTCTTGAGTGTCTGGATGTGGTGAATGAGGCCAGGGTGTGCCCTGGTGCAGAAATCTCACTGCAAACCTCAAAATGCAAGTGTTGGCATGATAAAGTTGCTCATCTGCCAGGGGATGATTTGCTGATATTTCCCCCACCTGCCCCCAGCTCATTCCTCTGCTGTCTAATGAGTCTCCATTTTCATTAAAGAGCGTTAGAGTCCTACTGTTTTAAGCTTTGTATTTCATGCAGATTTCCCGAGCACCAGGATTTTAATGGTGCCTGGTTTCTCACTTACCCAAAGCAGGAACTTGAACTGTATCTTGAGAGATTACAGAGAGAAGGGTTTCAGTGACTCACTCTGTAGTAAGTTACGGTTTCATTAGGGAAAGCAAAGTTCATCCACATGGTCCTCCCTGGAGTCTGATTGTAATCTGAAATCCCTCCTGAGGTGTTAGGAATGGCAGGAGTTAGAAAAACCATCTTCCCAAAAGCCCAGTTGTGGAAGAATGTCTTCAGTTTGAAGTGTAGCATGAGCAGCTCAGGCTGGTGCTCCGGGAACACATACTGGATTCAGGTGTCTGTTCAGATTTCCCAGTTTATTTCTTCAGATCGCCCCAGCTTGTTCAGGAAAATGACTCTCCATCAAAGCCATTTTTCTGTAGTCAAATTATTTCTTGACCTTGCAGTGCTAGAGGAAGCTGCACCAGATTGAGTCCCATATTCTCCGTAAGAGAAGCTGATCATACAGGACTAGGAGTTATGGGAGGGGCAGTGTTTGTTATAATTGCAAGGGGGAAGGCTTGCACAAGGGCCTTATAAACTGCGAACATAAGGGCTCTGTACTGGGCTCTGTACACCCTTATTTTAGCCCTTTCCCATTTTGAGTTGCCACTAGGAAGTATTAAAGCTATTAAAATATTTTACTGACTAGTTTGCTTTTTTGCAGTATGGGAAAATACTGAGTTTACCTAGTACTGTCTAAGTGTGGCATAAAGCAAACTGGTAAAATCCTTTGCCTTGCGAGTAACTGAATTTCTTACCCAGAGAACTTCCTTCCTTAGCATGATTGACAGCTTTTAACAGCAGTCCACAGTTCACTGTTTGCTCAGCTGGCTTTGAGATGTCTAATCAATAGATAATAAATGAACAAAGACCACAAAAGTTTATCCAAGAACCACAAATTTTGGTTTATGTTATCATCTATCACTTTTGCCTTAGCTATTATACCTGAAATAGTGAGAAGGCTGTGTTTGATGTGATGATGTTTCCTTTTGCATTTGCAGGTATCTAGGCAAAGAGGGCTGGGCCCCAGCTTCATATCTGAAGAAGGCTAAAGATGATCTTCCATCTAGGAAAAAAAACTTAACTGGGCCAGTGGAAATCATAGGAAACATCATGGAGATCAGTAACCTGCTAAACAAGAAATCATCCACTGACAAGGAAACTCAAGCAGAAAACGAGACTACGGAAGCCCATATCACCAAGAAGGAAATCAGTTTGCCCATCCTGTGCAATGACTCTAATGGCAATGCCATGATGACTCCAGACAAGCAGGCTTCCAAACTGGCCCAGGGATCCCCAGCCATAGCAAGGATAGCACCACAAAGGGCTCAAATAAGTAAGGCAGTAGTCTAGGTTTCCACTGGCTTGCAGTGAATTCTTGTTTTCTACCTTTCAAGGCTCGCATTGCCTGTCAGCTAAGGTCCCATGTGTCCTGGCCTAATAGTTGAGTCCACATGAGCAGACCTTTGCATTGTCTGTAGATCTGCAGGGGCTCCAGAACATGATCCTTCATTAGTAGTGATAAAATTTAACTTCACTTTATATAAGGGCTGGCTGGTTCTTCTTTATGTTAGCCAGTATGTGTTCACTTTTTTTCTTTCTCCCAGAGAAGATATTTTTCCTTTTTGAACACTCTAAAACATGTCCCCCATACCCAGTAATGCAGATGATGTGATGGTGTGTTAAAGTGAAGGAGACCACCTATGTCTTCTCTTGCATTTGTTCTGCTATTTTCCTGGGGGCAAGTTGCTATAATGTTTTTACTGCTTCATCTGCAAAATGCAGATGCTAACGCTAGTCTGTGCAAGTAATGGCAAGATACTATGGTAGAGGACAGTGTGAGTGTTATTAATTTAGTGGATTATTTTTACTGCTAGAGGGAAAACTAGGTATTAGGCCAAATCTTTGCTGGCCAGTCTCCAATGGAGCTGGTCAGTTCCAGCAGAAAATACAATCCACTACTTTCTGGCAGTGATTTCCTCTTAAATTTGCTGGCTTAGCTGAGATGCATAGCTAAGCTACCTTGGTATTTCTAATATACCCTCATAGTTTCCTTTCTCGTTTCATAGAGATGCCTTAAATATTGCAAATACTGACTTCTAATGTTCTCAAAGTGTGTAACAGCAGAGAGCTGCTGAAAAATATGTTTAAAGTTAAATAAACTCTACCTTTTACCTTTCCCTTTCAGGTTCTCCAAATCTAAGAACAAGGCCACCCCCAAGAAGAGAATCCAGTCTGGTTTGTATTCATTTATGGTATATGTTAGCAGTGGGGTAGGTGTGCGGGTGCTTTATGAGACTTTCTACAGCTGTGCAAGGTGCAGGGGATATCTGAGAGATCCTTTATTTGCATGTCTGTTCATTTTATCATTTAAGTATTGAGCAGACCTCTGGACATCCTAATGTTAACTGGGAAATTATGTTTTTCAAAATGTTGCCCCAAATAAGCAGGTATTGAACTGAAGGGAGAATATCCTAAAGCTACTATGTTCTGTGCATGAGCATTAAACCTTCCGAGTCAGCCAAACAAGCTTTAAAGTTCCTTTGGGTGTCTTTAGCCTAGATTGGATCTTTTGACCTTCTCTTGTCTAACAACTGGGGACGTCTTCCCTCCTTCTATTGCTACCATCTCTGATGTGGCTAAACTTCACTCTTGTGTATGTTTAAAGTGACTTTGGTTCTTATGGAAGGATGTGTGCTACAGGAATGAGAGCTCCTATGATTGTTTATCCTCAAAGCTAGAATTCTGGAAGTTTGGACCAATTTGAGATTAGGACTGTCATCTTCAGATAGGAACTACTCAGTAGTCTATTTGTACAAAAGCTAATAAGATGTTTATAACTAGGCAATACATAGTGTTTAATCTTTGCTGTATCCTTTATGAGCAGTATGTGACTTGTAATTTTTCTGTGTCATCTGAGATGCCTCATAACAAACTAGATTAATAGCATATTAGCATTTTCTTCCTATTTCTCTTTGCATTATTTTCAATTAGACTTTGTTTTGGCAAGAGTACTACACTTAATCTCATGCTAAAAATAACAGTGATAATATATGTGAAACCCTGAACATGTCTGCTGTTTCCAATTATCTTCATTTAATCCAAACCATCCTATTATCTGAAGGCATTTTATTATGCTGCACTTCTGCTGTATTTCAGCATTTATAGTGCAGAAACATCCAATTATAACATTGTTAGACATGGTTCCTAAGGTGCAGTGATGCATTCTGTGTGAAATGCCACATGCTGTGTGTGATGAAACATGGATTGTTAGTTACGATGAGGATGTCTTAGAAATGGAGGAGCGTGTGAATAAAGTACAATATGCAATTTGCCTTTCTCCCATTAATGGCTTAGGATCATTTTGTGTCTTTGGCTGTCCTGTGTCTGTCTGTGGCAGGTCTGACTTGTTTTCAAGAGATCTGAAACACTGCAGTTCTTGTGTTAGAACCATAAGCAGTGAAGTGCGGAAGCTGTGAAGCTTCACCATCATCTAGTCATTCTGTAGATGCGCAAAGTGCTGATCTGAAAAGCTTTCAATATTGAAATTCCTGAAAGGACTATTATCCCATTTATCACCTTAAAAATAATTGTAACAAACTCATGTGACAGCTTGATGTAAAGGTACTTAGCTTTTAGAGGAATCTGGTATTCTGCCAGAATGGCTGTAAGTAGCACTGTCCTGCTTCTTATGGAGCCTCTATGTACTTTAAATGCAGGTTGTGTTGGGACTTATTAGAGGTTCTGGGTCTCTGTTATGGGAAGGAACCTGGAATCTTTTGATCCTATAGTAAAGTCCTTCCTTTCTCCTATCACTTTAGCTGAGGAAAACTCTTCATAGAGGTCTATGATATTGTCCTTGTTTCTTGCTACAACAGATGCCCATTAGCTGATATCACTGAGTATTTCAGATTGTTTAAAAATCTGGCAGCAGATTAAGAGCAATAGTTTATTAGGATTACATTTTAAGGTAGTATATTTGATGATAGGCAGAATCTATTATAAGCCTGTTGCAATGCTGTTTTCTGCAGTTGTGGCAAGCCATCCAGAACTGAGTCTTTCTGGACAAAATCTCAGCATAAATGGGCTGTTGTTACTGTGGCTGGAATGGCAGCTCATGCTTTATGGCCCATCAGTAAAATGTTTTACTGTTCAGGTAAAGATTATCACAATTTTAGTAGCTGGTGAACACGACATGAACAGTGAGTATTTTCAAAGGCTTCTCCCTTGTGGCCCATCTCAATACATCAGCTTCCACGCTGGAGAACTGGGAAGTTATCATTAGGAAGTAGCACAGGAAGAAAGAAGAGTTTTAGTGAATAAAGGCAAATATTTTTTCATACTGCTCTTCAGCCCACTGTTTCTTTGGTTTAATTGAACAAAACTTCCAATTTGCCATAGGGTTTTCAGTTGCCCAAACCACCAGAGCCACCCTCCGTGGAAGTGGAATACTACACCATTGCAGAGTTCCAGTCGTGTATCTCTGATGGCATAAGCTTTCGTGGAGGACAAAAAGCAGAGGTGAGCCTTAACAGTGCAGCTGGAAAAATTGTAATATTTGGCTGTTGCAGGGGACTGGATTGAAAGGGGAGGAGTGGAAAGCAATTGGTTGAGACTTTTATCTGAGTGGCATGTTCCTTGTCATCTCCTAGGTTATAGAAAAGAATTCTGGTGGCTGGTGGTACGTGCAGATTGGAGAGAAGGAAGGATGGGCTCCAGCATCTTACATTGACAAGAGGAAGAAGCCAAATTTAAACAGAAGAACCAGTACTTTAACCCGCCCAAAAGTTCCTCCCCCAGCACCTCCCAGTAAACCAAAAGACTCTGAAGAAGGAACAACTCCTGGAACAATTTCTTCAGGAGATACCCAGGACTCTCCCCACAAGCTGAAATATGAAGAACCTGAGTATGATGTGCCTGCCTTTGGCTTTGACTCGGAGTGTGAAGTAAGTGAAAGTCATCGTGAAGAGGGCACTCCTGAAAAACGACTGTTTCAGCCCCTCAAGCCATCTCCCGTGTCATCACTTCAGAAAGCGAAGTTCAAAGTAGGAGAGTCTTCAGAAGATGTTGCTCACGAAGAAGAGACCATTTATGAAAACGAGGGATTCAGGCGTTATGTGGAAGATGCTTTGTCCAATAAGGAATCTAGTGGAGACTCCGATTCTCAGAAAAGCTCCTCTCTCTCCTTGATCCGAAGGAATTCTCCATGTTCCAACTCTCCTAAATCATCCCTTGTGAAGCTCAAGGCAGACAAAAACATCCAGCCCGATCTTGGAAAATGTCACTATTCCAGGAGCGAGGAGACAAAACCAAGGTCAGCTTCAGATGTTGGTTTACGTAGCATGCCAAGAACAGGCATGAAGAAAGAGCCTGGGCAGAGTCCTTCCATTAGAGCAAAGCCAATTGTTAGGCCCAAACCCTTCCTGAACAAGGCAGACTCGCAAAGCCAAGAAAAGATGGATATCAGCACTTTAAGGCGTCAGCTGAGGCCTACTGGGCAACTCAGAGGTGGACTTAAAGGTTCAAGAAGTGAAGAGTCCGAGAGCCCCCCACACACAGCTTCTGAGAACCAAGATGATCCTGTCAGGAGGAGTTCGGCTGATCTCATTACAGCTCCTTCCCGTGGTATTTTCTGCTCTAGCCATCCGGTCAAAGCTGAGCAAGAAAATGACTCCAGATGTTTCTATGTGACCACTGACTCATACCAAAAGGTACAGGATTCTGAAATTTGCTTCCCAGCAGGAGTAGAAGTGGAAGTGCTGGAAAAGCAAGCCAGTGGATGGTGGTACCTGAAATACGGAGACATGGAAGGCTGGGCTCCTTCCCATTATTTGGCTCTCCCTGATAACCAGCGAGAAACCACATCAGCAGATACTGATGCCTCATTTGCCAGGAATAGGAAAAATGAAAACAAGTCAAACAGTTTAGAGAAGATAGAGAAGAGGGTTCAGGCTTTGAATACCATCAACCAGAGCAAACGTGCAACACCACCCATCCCAAGCAAACCTCCTGGTGGTTTTTCAAAACCAGCAGGGCCAGTCAAAATGAGGAATGGTGTGAGGCAACTTGCTGTCCGGCCGCAATCAGTGTTTGTGTCTCCACCACCAAAGGATAACAACCTGTCATGCTCCTTGCGCAGAAATGAGTCTTTAACAGCTACAGATCACCTTAGGACCGTCCGTCGGAATTCCTCCTTCAGCAACGCATGGTCACAGCCTGGTGACGTGAAGGGAAAGCAGCCTGAGCAGTTGGGTACAGAGGGCTCAGAGACCACCTCCAACCTCCCTACCCAGAGGAATGGGATTCCTGTGTCCACAGTCAGGCCAAAGCCCATTGAGAAATCTCAGTTCATCCACAACAATCTCAAGGACATTTATGTTTCCATTGCAGACTATGAAGGAGATGAGGAAACTGCAGGGTTTCAGGAAGGTGTCTGCATGGAGGTCCTTGAAAGGAACCCGAATGGCTGGTGGTACTGCCAGATCATGAATGGTGTGAAGCCATTCAAAGGCTGGGTGCCCTCAAATTACTTGGAGAAAAAGAACTAATATTGCAATATCTTTAACCTCCCTAATTTATACTGTTCCTGCTGTGTACATGTGGAAAAAACAATTGCTACACAAAAAGACGTTTCCCTGTGCTCCAGTTTGTACAAATGGACAAAGGAGTCTATGCTGAGGACAAATCTGCTGTGTTCTGGAGAGGTTTGTGGTGTTAACATGTTGTAAGCAGCTATGAGGAAGATGCAGCATAGTCAAATGCCTTTTTGTGAAGCTGTTAATAATCTTGTATGTGTAACAGGGTATGACATCCCATCTTTCCCATTGTTGATAGGAAACCAAATGTGTGCCTTTTGTGAGAGAGAAATACACATGCATCTACTTGGGGAGTTTTGTGCCAAACTCTGTTTTACAATCTTGGCTCCCTTTCTCCTCATTCTTGTCCGTACGTGGAATACCCAAGAGTTTTGGATGCATTTCCACAACTTACAGTGAGAAGCGAATGGAAGTTTCTGAAACGCAGAGGGACTCTAATTCTTTGGAGATATTCACTTTTTTTTTTACTGTTCTCAACAGTTGGTTGATCCAGAGTTGGAGCCTTTTCATTGCGGAGAGATCTGGTCTCTGACTTCAGCTGTGTTTTGTTGTTACTGCTAACTCACTGGAAAAGGCAATCGGGTGGTGTTGGTTGGGGGCTTTTTGTTTCTTTTTGTTCTATCTTGTTCTTTGAGTTGGGATTTCAGGTATTCTAGGGCAGCGATGCCTACTGGTGCTTGTGAAAACAAACCTACAAACCCCATGCTTAAGCACATCCATTACTTTGCAGGCTCCTTACATAGTTCTGTGCCTGGCTCCCGCCAGGTGATCCTGGTTGATTCTCTTCCTAGAGTTGGGTTTCTGAAAACTTGCCATAATATCAAAATGTACAAAAGTCCCTTAAGACGCTAAGACCAAGCTGTCAAATGTGTTACTTCTGGTTTTGCGATCTGGTCCGAATCCAAACGTGCTGACTGCTGGCAGGGCCCACCAAGTTATTAGTTAGAAATAGCCATAACCTTCTGCAACATCAGTGTTTACAGTGGGGGAGGGGAGCCATCAAACTCAGTCTGCACATCCTTAATTTGTATATTTTTGGGGAATTGTTTTTCTGTGTTTTGTTTTTGTCTTCTGTGCATTCTGGGTTTACTTTATTTTTTTTGTCTTGTTTTACCAGACTTAAAACTGAAGTAGGAGCCAAATATGTGTTCCTGTTCCCACTTGAATCCAAAAAGTACATTTGTACTGGAAAGTGTGCCTGGGTTTCTCCGGCTCAGAGATTTAATTAGGTCTACGATGCATCTAACCAGGAAGCTGCCTCTTCTAGTTCCATTTCTGTTTGCCTTTCTTAACTCATGCTTTGAAACGTGGCACATGGTGGGGGTAGTGTGGTGGGAAATGGAAGAGGCATCCATTGGAAAATGCTAGGAATATGGAGTTATTTGTGAGGTGGCCAACTCTTGTACTGTAAACATCATTGGCTAAATCCCTACTGTACTCGAGGAAGTCATGCCTTTTTTTTTAAATGGCCTTCTTAATCACTCAAGATCAGTATCTAGTTCCTTTAAATAATAGCCAGCATTGTAAATCTGTTTTAAGGGGGAGGGGGCAGACCATTTCACTACTGGTTTACACAAAATGATATATGCCCTTTTTTCCACCAGAGTTTCATACCTATTTGGCTTGGAAGGTAAAGGTTATAAAGACTTTAAAATAGCTGGGATCAAGGGGCTGAGTAAAATAGCACAACGGTATCATGTGTTACTGGGGATGTTTCTCTGCCAAAAAAAATTTACACAATTTATACGTTGTTCTTGTCTTTTTTTGGGGGGGGCGGGGGCAGGTATTAATTTCCGTGGTAACATTGAGAGAGTTGCCTACAGCTAACCTGACTGAAGTCCTTTTGGTAGCTGAAACAACATCCAGGTGCCACAACTGGTTACAAACAGTGCTGTGGTTTGAGCGGCTCTCTGCATCCAAGTGGAGAGGGAGGCTGTTTGGCTGGGATCCCTTTAAATTGTGGTGGCAGGAGAAGGAGGTGTATCTGCACAACAGCTCATATCATAGTGTGCAGGGTCCTCTTGGTACCTTAACGTCTTACCATATAATATATACATATATATCCAGTTAGCTACATCTTACTGGATGTGTATCTGAGGCATTGTGGCCCTGTCTCATACTTCTCCCCATTTTTAGTTGTACTAATATGGTAGCAGCCATAAAAGACTGCTGGAGCTGTTGTGAGATTATAATAGAAGTATTATATTCTTCTGCTGGACAGTATTAAATAGAGCAATACATAGAGTTATCTGCTAGATTGCAGTACTAATAGTAGTGACTTAGTGACTTGTATTAATGTTGTTATGATTTATTTTAACAATAATGATGCGGAAGTGGTTCATTATTTTGAATTAATGCACTTTAACAATAAAAGAAACCAAAATGGAAGCCAATGCAGAGAACTAAGTGCATTATTTAAAGGTGCAGTATATAATTATCATTTTCTTGAAGCACATATTTATTAAGAATTAACTTATTATTTAAAATATTCTAAAGTTTTGTTTAGACATTCCCACTAGGTCATCTCTTTGGGGGAATGTAAAAGCACAGCTCCCAGATCTTCTGCATTGAGCCACTGAATTCTCTGAGTATGGTGTGGTGTGACGTGAGCCCCTACCCAGGGAAAGGAAAACAGCACGCAGACAGGAGAGCCCGGACTACTGTAAATATTCACACTTGCATCCAGCAAAGCCGAGCCCAGAGCACTTCTGAACTGCAGGTGCCCTTGCAGAGGTTGGGGTAGCAAAGCCATTTTTGGCAGGCGGTTGCGGTGCCTGGCTGCGATGTGCCTTGCACAAGGCTGGTCTCCAGTGGGTGCGGGCTTGCTGCAAGGCTCAGGTTAGCGTGAGGGCTTCTGGATCTGCCTGTGAAACATGGGCCAGCTCTGTAACAGATGTCAGTCTGGCCCACAGCTCACTTTCTGCCTTGCTGGCTTGCTTCTCCATCTCTGGCTTTTGCAGGGGAGGTGGTTTGTTGAGCTCCAAGTGATGTGGGGGATGACACAGAGCGAGGTGCCTACAGTACTGCCAGGGTTTTCTCAAGCAGCAGCCCAGCGTCCTGTGGCTCAGTTGCTCCTTTATCCCATCTCAAAGGCTTCATGGCCCCTGGAGGAGAGGCCAGAGCCTGTAGGTGGGCAGCAAAGCCACACTCGTGGCCTCCCTCTTCCCTCTGCCCCAACCTGCACCAGCAAAAAGGATTGGGTGCGCATGACCTACTTGATGCTAGAAATGAATGTGGGCCACCACCTGGCACGCCAGGCTTCCTGCCTGGTGGGAAGACTTCAGTTTGGGCTTCCCTTTATTTGGTGGCTGTTTTGACTGCTTGTGTTTAACAGGGCACTTTTAAAGCAAATACCCTCCCCCCAATGCAGTTTTTCCCCCTCCCGTCTTACCATTGTCACAGCATCTCTCACTGATGTCTTTTTTTGATTCTTTCACCTGAGAGGTACCGGGAAAAGAATTCTTTTTTTCCATCAGGGAGCAGCTAGTTTTGGTCAGCTCCACTGATACCTGAAAGAGCAAGCCCTTTCCGCTGTTAGCTGTGAAACAGAGTGAAAGGCCTTAAGCTAAATCAGAAAACCTAACTGCAGGGCAGGAAAACCTGGCAGAGTGCCTCAGAGGACAGTGTAGTGCAAGAAGTGGTTTAGCTCTTTTCTAAAATGTTAATGTTGCCTTAATCTTTATTTACTAAATTTGTCAGAACTGACACTGGATCAAGAGCAATATTTAAATGTAACGTACACCTCAGTGAACACTCAATGCAGAAATCAATAGTACTGTTGAATTTTCTCTCTTTCTGGTTTGTTCTTGAACCAGGCTGTGAAGAAGAAGAGCTCTGCAGGGCTTGGGCAAAGCCGTTTGCAGCTGAAGGGGGCCCTCCTCCGGGGGGAGAGGCGGCTGCTGTCGCCGCGATGCTCTCACCCGCTGTCCGTGCTTTCCAGAAAGTCTTGAATTTGGACCAGCAGAAAATCCAAACTCCCAATGCCAGAGAACAAAATTTAAGAATGTGAAAATTTGTGTCTTGCTGTATACTGCAACTTTAATAATAATGAGCACTTCTGAGTTCGTTATTGAGGTTTATATAATGCCTGAAAAGTTTAGTTGCTGGTTTCCCTTGTCTCCCCTTTCAAAACACTTTCCGGTAACAGCAAGAGTAATACGTTTTTGTTAGCAGCCCTTCCCTGTGGGAGGCAATTCCTGTTAGTTGTTTTAGCTTTCACGCCTTGCAGTGGGTGAGTGTAGTCACACCTACCAGCCCTTTGCAAGCCAAACTTTTTTCAAGATAAAAGATAACAATGGGCGTGTGTTGGGATGCTTAACTGATGTGTCGACAGGAAGTTTTTATATCGATGTGTACAATAGTAACAAATACACAATGAAGGATTGAAATTGGCTCACAGTTAGACTCTTAAAAATGGCATTTCACATCTGCACGGGTATAGCTAAAAAATGAATTTGGCCCTTGTGGATATGTACCCCAAAGACTCCTTCCGTTATGATGCTATAAAGTTTGACGAAGGCATTATATAATTGTTTTCATCACTTTCAGATCTTAATGAATCGTATTTTATTGTAATATATATTCATTGCTTTCCTCAGTTAAAAAGAAAGTTACTGCTTTTATCTTATATGAAAAACAAGGGAATTTGATAAAGCATTCATTATTTTCATATTACTAGTATTAACAGAATAGAACTAGTACTATTTAATTTTAGTTCTTCATAGCTAGCTTGTTAATAACTCATATTGTCCTGTGTTGTATCCTACTTTTTTTTTTTCTATTTTTTCCCAAATACTCTGCATTCTTGAGAAAAAAACAAATCCAATGAGTGGATAAGTGCAATATTCATAGAATAAACAGGCCCCTCATCCAGGACTTGGAGTGGAACGTGCAGTGTGAAATGTTTGTAATTCTCTATTCATGCACTCTTAGGGGAAGGGGAAATGCAGGAGAGGGAGCGGCTGGATGAAAACAGGACCCTTGGGTAGGTAGGGACTGATAACTGAGGTGGTTTAGGGTGGGAATAGTTGCTTTTCATATAAAAGCTGTTACTGAAAGTATAAGGATTATACAGCATGTTGCCAGGATTACATATAGAATGTGGATTAACATCCTTATCAATACAGGACTTCTGAGCTATGCTTGAAGCACTCTGTATGTCATCCATGCATGATACTGTCTTCTGGTATGTCTCTGCTGGTTATGTCCTCTGTCACGCTTCAGAATCGATAACTTCGGAAGGGAAAATAATTCTGCTGGTGCAGTCCCAAGCTTTAATACTGTATTGTTACTTGTATTTATTGAAAGAGCTATGGGAATGTTTTTACAGGTCCTTGTTTCTTTTCTTTCCTTATTGTTAACCTAAGGAAAAAAAGTCTCTATTTTATCTGGATTAGTTCTCACCTGCAGAATTTCACAGCTGATTTGGGTATTGATTTCAG